TTGTTCTATGGAGTTGATTTAACTTCCAACCATGTATTTTTAAATAATCTTTAACGTTTTCTGGCTAGTTATGTTAGATTTGATTAAAAATACGCATTCTACTTGTTAACATCATAAATTAAATTTGCGATAATTTGAGCAGAGAAGTTCGACGACTGGATCACTGTGTACAGAAGGTTGATATGCCAGCAAACACTTTCCAGAGAGCAATATATCTTGGATAAGTCGCTCCACGATATTGTTGCTTGGACCATCGACTTCCTTTGATATTACATATTTACATCTTATTTTGTTATGAAATGATATTTTTTCAGAGTAAAATTATGTTTTCTCATTTTCTGCATCCAGCATCCACATTATAGTGAGTAAATATACCATATTACTTCATTGCTAGGAAGGTTTGAGTAGCTTTGGGTCTTTAGTGGACAGAATCCCCAATAGATGGGGCGAGAGTCGCCCCATCTCTCTCGACCGGGCGGGACTCGAAACTTAAATTAAAATTGCTATATCATTGGTCTCCAACATATATTTCCTTTCATGCACTCACAATAACGATTATAGCTCTGTCTTTCTGGAGGCATGTAATATTTTAGGCTTTATTAGCGTATCTTTGTTAATTACACAACATATTGGCAAGTGCGTAGGCGTCTGCACTCCATGACCGAAAAGCTACTGAACGCCACTATAAAAACATATATATCTTCACTTGAGCTTTAAATATGTCTAATGTAATGTATTTAAAATAAAGCTTATATTTCTATCTTTCTTAAGACGTGTAAAACATTTGTGTTTATTAACGAATTTACGTAAAATAAACATTCTTCTGAGAGAGTTGCTCTGTCGCTCAGTCTATGCGGGGGTCGGAGCTCGGCGATTATTAAAATACATGAATCTTCATTAGAACTTTAATTATGTCTATGATAAAGTGTTTAAAATGAGCCTTATATTCCTCTTTCTTGAGGCATATAAAAAAATTACGATTATTTACAAATTTACGTGAAATAAGCATTGTTCTGAGAGAGAGTTGCTCCGTCGATCGATCTGTCCGGAGTCGGAGCTCGGCTATTATAAAAGTACACGTATCTTCGCTTTAAATTTAAATATGCCCATGGTAAGGTATTTAGAACGAAGCTTATATATCTGTCTTTCTTGTGACATATAAAACTCTTACGTTTATTAAGTAATCTGCGTGAAATAGGCATGGTTCTGAGATGAATGCTGCGGTTTTAGAGTTTGACGAGCGATGAAAACTGCCACTTTTATACAACTACAAATATCTCCGGTTTTACTTAAAATATTTGTCTGATAGAGGTTTTACATATAGATCGCGTTTCTGTCTTTCTTCTGACTAATAAATAATTTTGGTTTAATCAGTTATCAAGATGTTTTCAACAATATTCTTTCAGCGTTCGTCTTTTCCAACTTGGGCGACCCTTTTGGAAGCGCGATACTTGGGTTAACCCATCCTATAAGAACATAAGAACATAAGAACAAAGGTAACTGCAGAAGGCCTATTGGCCCATACGAGGCAGCTCCTATTCTATAACCACCCAATCCCACTCATATACTTGTCCAACCCGCGCTTGAAACAATCGAGGGACCCCACCTCCACCACGTTACGCGGTAATTGGTTCCACAAATCTACAACCCTGTTACTGAACCAGTATTTACCCAAGTCTTTCCTAAATCTAAACTTATCCAATTTATACCCATTGTTTCGTGTTCTGTCCTGTGTTGATACTTTTAATACCCTATTAATATCCCCCTTGTTATGTCCATTCACCCACTTGTAAACCTCTATCATGTCGCCCCTAACTCTTCGCCTTTCCAGTGAATGCAACTTAAGCTTTGTTAATCTTTCTTCATATGAAAGATTTCTAATTTGGGGAATTAACTTAGTCATCCTACGCTGGACACGTTCAAGTGAATTTATATCCATTCTATAATATGGCGACCAAAACTGAACTGCATAATCTAAATGGGGCCTAACTAGAGCAAGATATAGCTTGAGAACCACACCAGGTGTCTTGTTACTAACGCTGCGATTAATAAATCCAAGTGTCCGATTTGCCTTATTACGAACATTTATGCATTGATCCTTATGTTTTAAATTCTTACTAATCATAACTCCCAGATCCCTTTCGCAATCCGACTTCGCAATCACAACACCATCTAGCTCGTATCTTGTAGAGCCCGACTTTGGTTAGAAGACACATAAAATGCTTTTTTTCTCTCTCCCCTTTTTCCTCCTCTGCCGCACACGTACATTTACGTTTACAGTAGAGTGAAGGCGGGGAGGGAGGGGCCCACTGGGAAGCGTGTATCATCATTACCTAACCTCAGAACTTTACATTTATCAGCATTAAACTGCATCTGCCAATCCTTTGACCATTTCAAAACCCTATCTAGATCAACTTGAAGTGATAGTGAGTCCTCCTCCGAATTAATTTCCCTACCGATTTTGGTATCATCGGCAAATTTGCAAATGTTGCTACTCAAACCTGAATCTAAATCATTTATATATATTATAAACAACAGAGGTCCCAGGACAGAGCCTTGAGGCACTCCACTTACAACATTTTCCCACTCTGACTTGATTCCATTTATACTAACTCTGTTTCCTTTGGTATAGCCATGCCCTAATCCAGCTTAATATAGCACCCCCAATACCATGAGACTATCTTTTTAATCAGTCTTTCATGTGGCACTGTATCAAAATACAGGACAGACCCTATAGTTGGGTCTGTTTCCAACTGGGGTTCGAATATACTACTCGATCGACTTGGGGTTTGTATGAATGTTTGCCATTAAATTTCCGTTTTCTCTAATAGGCACATGGCCTATTTGAGAAAACGGCATTGTATTGTAACTTAGAGGAGAGACTATAGAGTTGGTGACACGTGGGTAATCGCCCACTTCACACACACGATCGTGTTGGCCGCGATCATGATTCTACATTTATATGCATATGTCTGTGTAGAGAATTTTATTGTGAGTTCAGTGAAATAAAATTTAACGCTGCAGGACTAATGTGGAGCTGACAACAAAAGAGTATGAACATTTTGTTGCTGTTTGGGCGTACGGCGAGTGATCTACGTTTTTATTTATTTCGTGGTGAAATAGCTAATGCTTTGGTTACATTTTATACATATGATCTTGTAGAGAATTTTATTGCCAACACATTGATACCAAAAGGAAATACGTAGCTCGAGAATTGGTGTCAGGAGAGTGAAAAGATTACACTGTTTGGTGTTTACGCTAGAAAAAAACGCCGAGCGCACAATGCGCAGTTTTTTTCGCGGGAACCGGGCGCATTAAAGTGTTAAATATATTCTCGAAGCCCTAGGCTTTTCTATTCTCCAAACTGGAGGTGTACTTATATGTATTGCACTTGTACATAATGTTTAATGTTTATAATGTGCATTATATGTAATGCACTTATATTTGTAATCGCATTTGGGAGATGTCAGTACTCAAAGACTGGCTTGAGGGTGCTCATCCTATTTGAAAACCTAGTACTCTAAAGGATCATCCCATTGCCCTGACGAGTTATGCCTGCAAGGTTTTTGAATGTGGTTAATGTCTTGTGTAGTTTTTGGAACGTCTCAATTTGGCTTTTGCAAGTGTCGCAGCACCAGTGATGTTTTAGTGAACCTAGAAGTCTACATTCATTCTGCCTTTGCTGCAAAGACCTTTGTGGTCACCCTTGTTAACTTGGAAAAAGCTTATATAACTTGGTATAGTTATGTACAGTACTGTACATACACACAGGTGAACATTGATATTCTGAAACAATTGATTTTGTATATTGAAAGTAAATATTAAACCTTGGGCTTATACACATTGTGAAAGTAATTAATTTTAATCAAATATTAATGGGAAAATTACGTAATAGACATTCTTTTCCTTTTTAAAGGAAATGAATGTTTCCAATATACAAGTTTGCCCCTTTATTTTCTAACCAATTGTACAATCTGGAACATTTGTTCACATACTTGTCAAAAGGCGGACCACGCTTAGGTGACTGTAATACCATAACATTTCTTCAAGTACCTACATATTTTTAATTTTCCAAAGCAAATGGTGTATCATATTGTAATTACTTTTTACGAATGTAAATATATTTCCTAATTTCATGCTTGCAAGAAACTAGGTTTCTAGAAACTGTCACTAGGTTACCAAGTCCAGTATTTCCTTTGTCAAATTCATAAATTCTGATGATGGTACAACTTTATAGTACTGTAACTATAAAAAAGTTCATAATCAGCTCCCTCGTGTCAACTAGTTGAATTGCCTATATTAATAATGTTATCCTTTAGGTCTTAAAATATTGCTCATTTAACTGCTGAATATAGTCATCTAATTTAAAACTTACCAGTTTGACATTTTATTTTGCAAGCCATTATATTTCCACTTGGTTTGACCGAAACATTCCAGTTTAGGAAAATGGTACTGTACTTTAACTTGTCATCTCTACATTAATCAATGTAAAGAAAAATCTTCACTTTGATAACCTATTTTATCTATGACAGTGGTTAATATTGAATCATTTGTGGCCATAGTTAATTTTAAAATGTCTGTTCCGAATTGTAAGTTAAAACTTCAGTGGGATGAAAAGGTTTGTCAAAACTGAAAGAGCAGGAGTAATATTAAATAATGAAAACCTGAATTAGAAAACCTGAACCTAATTGATTTCAAATTTGATGTACTGTTTATGCAGAAAAAATTACAGTATTGGATATTGGAAGTGTGATAAATTGAAAGTTGCATTTTTTCAGTGCTAGGACAGCACACGTTACATCTCCTGCCAGGAAATCTCATCAATACTAATACAGTACTGTAAATTCTCATTAAAGTTTTACAAGAACCAATATTCCAATTTAGGCCACTGAATGATTACACTTAAATTCCAAGCAATAGAGACTTCTCATATTGGCACACATTTAAGTACACAAAACTTCTGCATACCTAACTTGCGTATTACTAGAGGGTAAATAACCTTTTTTTTTTTTTTTTTTCTTTAATGTAAACTACAATACTTAGATGATACCAATCTTGTTAGCGACATCAAGAGCATCATAGTCAGGAGCAAGCTTCACATATGCCTTTTTAAGTCCATCAGGTCTGTGAAGTGTGTTAACACGTGCAGCATCAATCTCGTACAGCTGAAATGAACCAAACACAAATGACTACTGTAAGAGGGTTTTGGATGTGGGTAGCTATATGTCTTATTTTTTTATAATACACATTCAAATATAAAAATATGCATTTCTTCACTTCAGAATGAAACAAAGTAACCTAAATTCATAGTGTAAAGAGTATGGGTTTTAAGAAATACAGGCTGAAAATTTATAGTACCAGGCACAAGTCAACACTTGCCTAGAGGGGAGGTAATGGCAGGGAGTCTTGCACATAGGATGGTAAAGAAGAGGCCAGTGCTCGTTTAATTGTACATTCAGAAAGTCCTAGATTCTGCCTCACTCCAAAGTTGTGATTTGAAACTACTTAAAAAAATATGCTATGCCATTCCATTTGCTTACCACCTGTACTGCAAACATCTCAAAACTAGTTCTATATCCTCCTTGCTTTACTTCCGCTTTTGCCCACCCTTGTCATTCCTTTGGGGCACCACATACAATGCCCCAATTGTCAAGATTGGACATTTTACTTTCCTACTATACCAATGAATTCTCTCAATGAATCAAATTCTTCCGACATCACTCGTCTCGTATCTTTCTGCTCTCATACAGGAATCCTGAATATCTAAGTTCTTTTCATTAATCCATGACAGAAGGTGGCAATTAAGCCTTCAACTACACATCTCAACCAGGGTTGTATTTTGGTCCCGCGTACATTTTAAAACTGTCACGAGTACACACAGCTCATATTTGCTCATTCAGGCATCCAGTAAACAGACACCATCTTGGAAACAAACCCTCCTTGCTGTGAGGGCCTCTGTACTAACTAACCCCACAAGCATGAACAGTGCATGCAGCAGCAGGTCTCAACACCACCTTGTATCCAAAGTATCACAGATGATGAAATAAATATGAAACCAAGAATTTTGCAATGATAGTGGTAAGATCGTGACAGTGACAATTACTGTGTAAAATGTTCAGATATTTGTGACCCGCACAGCAGATGACAATGCTCCTAGCGCAAGGCCTATTCCACAGCATCGTGAAAATTTAATTCCAATGTTTAAGAAATGAATTACAACTTTTTAACCCTCAAACCGCTAGGGGCCCAAATGGATTTAACACACAGGAGCAACAAAAAAAATTCCCCAAAATTCTTTCGTTTTATATAAGTGTTCATTTTCGTTCCCTGATCACGGAAAAAATTTAAAAAAAAAAATCGTAGGTGGCATATTTTAGCCGCAATAGGTTAGGGAAGTCTGGCAAAAAAGGGGCGTTGACAGACTTCGCCAGACGAGGTCTACTCCGCTCGAGCTGTCAGGCAGCGGTTGCCACAAATATATTATTACCTAATTATTTCAATGTCTCTGATTTTTTCTTATTTTTTTTTTTTGCAGTAATATTATTCAATACAGTGAATTGTGATACTGTATATTCTTATAATAAAATAAGTGAACCATCGCTGTACTCAAAATTATGGTGTGCATATTAGTGATTCAATTATTGTTCATAAAACAACAAACAAATAGTTTTGCTGTTATTACACTATATACACAGCTTATAAGTATCTGCATGTTTTGCTCACCATAACGAACCACTAAGTTGGTATTGTGAGTCAAAATGCAACGAGGAGTGACCGCTGCACACCAGCCAGCCTCTCGTTGCCACTCCCTCCCTCAACAACACCTCACTCGCCCTCATTCTCCTCCCACAATATTGTTTTTGCATTTATTCACTATACACAGATGTTGTATATAAGTATTTACATGTTTTGTTCACCATAACTGTACATCTAAGCTTGTATGGTGAGTAAAGTCACAAAGACGTAGCTATTCACACAGTCAGCTGGTGGCGGCCGCCCTCAAGGCCAGACGCACTAATATTTCTCCTCTAACAATACTGTTTGTAGTGGTATTACGCTATATACACACATTATATACAAGTATCTACCTGTTTTATTCACCATACCTGTACAAACAAGCTGGTATGGTGGCCAAAGACCATAGTAGCCACCAGTAAACAACATGATTAGTTGTGCAGACGACGCACCTCCCTCACCAAAATGGCAGCTCCCAACCTACTTCTATTGCTGTTATTACACTATACACACGTTATATATATATAAGTATCTACATTTGTGTTCACCATAGCGAACCACTAAGCTGGTATGGCGAGTGCAGTCAATAAAAGGTGGCCACACACAGTCAAAAGACGACACCCTCCCTCCCACAGCATTACTCCTCCCTCCTTGGAGCACAGGCTAAATATCACCACAATCCTGCTATTATCAGAATCCTGGTCAGTTTTATCAGTCAGCGGTCTTCTGTAATACTATCATTGCTAAATAATAGCAGGAACATATTTATTATGGCATTTGTAGGCGATGCTGTGGTCACAAGCTGAACAGCGGTGCTGTGAGCTCGTGCTGCGTGCGTCAGCCTTGGTGGCTTGCTCAATACTGAACCTCTCACACCCAAGAATGTTGGCCTGGATTTTTTTTCTAGGTGGTATCTGGCAACTATCGGTCGTGGCTGCATTATAGCTGCCCCTATCCCAGGCAGGGCGTTTAAATTATAGCGCTAGACCCGAAATCATATATATATATGACATGCACGGTTTCGGTTTTGTCACTGAAAGCATATATATATGATTTGCATGGTTTAAGGGTTGAAACATAAGTGTGCACGCGACGGGTGGCAACCAGTACTGATAATAACAACAACACCCCCTGTTTACTGGCAATCAGGGATAAAGAGATGCAAGCACCTGTCCAACTCTCAAAGACAACAACTAGTAATAAGGAGGGGTCTAAAAAGTTGATATGCAGCTGGTGCCACCTGGAGGGCCAGATTTCACACATAAGTTAGCATGTTATGCTGTATTTTATTATACTGTATATCATATACATTGCCCAATGGCAATATTTCTTGTCCCTTTATATGAAAAGTTTTTTTCCTTTCTTTGTTTTTTTATGCGGATTTTGTTGCTACTTCTACATCGTGAAGAATGCACATCCGGCACTAAGCATATGTGAAGTTGGAATGAAATGGGTCAACATGTTAATCAGCCACAGGTGGCAGTAGTGACATTTTTTTGGCCGATTTATTTACAGATTTCAAACTCTTATTCTCTGTCTATTTAGATTGCAATGATGAATGAGGACCAGATGAGGGCCTTATCACTTATATATGGGCAATAAAGTTACTGCAATATGTTTGTTACTGATCAACCAGGCTGTGACTCGTACATCAGGCTGCATGCAACAGCCTGGCTGACCAGTCCAGAAATGAGGAGGCCTGGTCAAGGACTGGGCCGCAGGAACACTAAGCCTCGAAACCATCTCAAGGTAACCTCAAGGTTATCCCTAACATACCCCTATACATTTTTGGGGGGAGGGGGAAAAAAGGGTTGGGGGGGGGGGGGGCGGCGGCTATCTTTTCTTGACTTCATTTCAACACATTGACCTACAACTTTCACATTCAAGTATGAATACCAAGCAATGTTTATTAAAACATACAAGAAAATTCATTGATGACTACTACTATATATATTGTCGATAACTATCTTTTTTTCTTTGTCTAACTTTTTTGTTTATGGTATGATGTTGATCCATTAGGAAAAGTTGAAGCATTTACCATGAATATATTACTCGCAAAAAATTGTGCATTTGAGGAAGTTTCGGTGCACCGTCACCGGGCTCCTTAAGGGCACGCACTTTGTTACCAGTAACAGAAGACCAAGACCCTGCCAATGGGCACGGATTGAGGAATGAATAACTGGGTAGAACGTTTAAATACGGCACACCTTTATGGGAGATACAACAAGTGCAGATAACCTCCTTAGTGGGAGCGTCCTCACTCTCAATTAAGATAACACTAATATGGCTGTGAACCCAGCAAAACTCCAGTCTTAAACCTGCTGGAGATCAGAAATAGCCAATCTTAAATTTTTACTACCACAGGATGGACTAGATTAAAGACTCCAGAGCCATGAAGAAGGAAGACAACAACAAAGATTGACAACGAGAAAGCAGTTAATGGAGAATACAAAATAGCATTAAGTTCTGCCATGAAGATGCTAGTCTCTGGAGACAGGCAGCACACAGGTATGGTCAGGAAAAGTAATTAATTAGCCTACACCGTCTGCAGACTTAGACCCATCTGTGAAGGCAGAAATAGAGTGGGAGTGGGAAAAAACGTGTGCAAGGAAAAGGCACTTCAAAATTGTAGGAGGGGTAAAGCTTTAGTCAGGTGGGTCAAAGTTTTCAAAACTTAGGTAGGAAGACCCTCCATGGGGACAAGGATGGAACGACACTGGGAGAAATATTGGTAACGCAAACCGAAAGAGAACCTTGCAAGCGAGACAACCGTACATAGAGGGGTAGGTGGTGAAAGGGAACAGGAAACACAGGAGGGGTAAAGATGAAAGTATGACATAAGCGAGAGTGAAGGTGTTATAGGAACCTTGCAAGGTAGCAAAGACAGTAGCAATTACAGCAATCCTGTAGAGACAGGACGCCAGTTTCAACATACAGGTATAGATTAGGAGTCAAACAAAAGGCAGCAAAGCCAAGGAATAACCCAGTGTAATGCAGAGCACTAAAACAGCAAAGAATAGAAGGAGAGGCAGACCAGTAAGCAGGACAACCATAATTGAGTTTAGACAGCACAAGTGAGGAATATAATGAGAGGAGCATATGCCTATCAGTTCCCAGGAAGTATGGGACAAGACCTTAAGTTAAGGGCTTTAGAGCATTCAACTCAAGAGGTAAGAGGAATAGGGCAACCAAGAAAAACAAATGTCAAAGATTAGCCCCAAAATCTTAGCATCATACATCTAGACCTAGTGTTCTTTGGAAAATGATCAATACAACTAGACCTCGTTTTCTTTGGAAAATGATCATGTGTAAAATTATTCATTATCAATTTTCAGGATTTAGTGACTGGAGCTCTGATGATAGCACTGTTTTGGCTAGTGTTAGCAGTGTGCATAGTTATATAGGCCAGCACTTTGTTTTGTCAGGTGCCAAGTGTGGGGGGCCAGGCTGTCCTTAGAAAACTGATTCCAAGATTATCACATCCACCAGAACGCTTAGTGGTTTGTAACAGTGCAACACAGTTAATTAATATAATGTGTGTATACAGTGTGAACAAAAAATGTGGTGCAAATATTGCTAATATATTTGTGCATACTGATGTCCCACATGTTGTGATATAAATTATGCTACTGACATACCAATAGGTAATTGCACTGAAAAAGTTTACAATTATAAAAAATATATATACAGTATATATTAAATGCACATAGCAACTTGCTCTACCACCCTTGGTGGACAAGATCGGAGTTTGCCTTATGAACAATCAAGATTTTATGCCACCATCAGGACTTCATCGCTTCAGTACAGCAAAAATAACTCAATTTAAATTTTCCCATGATTTGGGAATGTATAGTATTTAAATAGAACGCAAAATAATTTTGTAATTTTTTTTAAACAGGAATTGCCCCTTGAAATGCTTATCAGTGTAGGAGTTGAATATACAGTCACAGAATTTACTATATTTCCATGAAATCTTAAGAAAACTTAAAACAAAGTCATTTTTAAAAACAAACAAATGTTTGTTTATCATGTTTAATGCATTATAAATGTAAAAATGTTAACATGCATTTATAATGCATTATAAATGTAAAAAATGTATAAATTATTTACAGAAGAATGCACCTTTGTTGTTACATCCTGTATCAAAGGATAGTGATATAATGTAGTCAGGGAAAGATTTACAAAGAAAATTCACAGAATCAGTCCTGCATTCATGAATTTGTGAAAAAATTTAAAAGAACTGGATTTGTACTGGGATCCATATCTTTCACAAGGATCCTGAGGGAGCACATGTTGAAAGTTCTCAATAAAGATTTGACTTATGATTTATAAATCTCTTTGTATCAATGTTTGGTAAAAACATGAAATTATGTAGGTTTTTAACCCTTTAACTGCGCAACGCGCCTGCAGGCCCAGGCTTCAGGTGCGCAACGCGCCTGCAGGCCCAGGCTTCAGGTGCGCAACGCGCCTGCAGGCCCAGGCTTCAGGTGCGCAACGCGCCTCTGGGTGTTTTTATTTTTCACGTTCCATTCAAAACTCCCGCGGCTACATGGGGTTCACATCAGCTTCCTCAGGGCTCTTGTAAACAGACGCCATCTTAAAAAAAAATCATGGTCCACATTGCCGGGTGTCAGAGCCTCAGTAGTGAGTGAGCAAACAAGGCTGGCGCTTGCAGCATGAGCGCACAGCACTGCTGTTCAGCGTGTGACCACAGCATCGCCTAATATTGTCGAAATATACATATAATCTGTTTTATTTAGCCATAATAGTATTATAGAAGAGCTCGAGTGTGATAATGACTGGGTACAGTGTTCAAATATCAGTGATTCAATGCTGTTCACTATGTACACAGCGCTAGCCACAGCACCACAGCATTATTTCGTCCATCTAGGAATCTTCAAACGACTTTTTAGGTTCCTTTTAAAAAAAAACTTGGTCAATTATTCATTTACAGGTATTAGTGACCAGGATTGTGGTTATAATGAGCGTTGTGCGTAGGAAGGAGGAATTTTGGTGAGGGAGGGCGGAAGGGAGAGAATTGAGGTAGCCTCACTGTGGCAGTAACTCTGTTTTGCTCACCATACTAGCTTCGTGGTTCACTATGGGGAACACACATGTACACGGGTATATACAGTGTGTGTGAATAGTGTAATAACAGCACCAGGAGTATGTTGTGAGGAGCTATTTTGGTGAGGGAGGTGACGACGTAATCGTAGCGTCGTCTGCTGTGTGATTTGTCATGCAGTGTATGGTGGCCAATGTACTGTTTGGACACAATACCGGCTTACTTGCATAGTTCTGGTAAATAAAACATGTAGATAGGTATATATAACATGTGTAAATCATGTAATAGATACAATACCAGTATGGTGGGAGGAGCAATGTTGGCGAGTAAGATGTTGGAGGAGTGAGAGAGGGCTGGCTGGGTGTGGCTGCTCACACTAGCGGTGTTCTGAGTGTGTTGATGGTGAGTGTATATAGTGTGTGACATTGTATAGTCTGTAAATAGATTGTATATATACATAAATTAGCATGATATATGGTAAATATGTGCAACATATGTGTACACAAGTGTCATGCACAAAACACAGTGTCTTCGGACAGTACGGATGTTTTACTGCCATAATATAGTGTACGTGTTCATTATACATAGGATTAGCACGTAAAAACAAATAAAATGTATTTGGAACTGTGCACAAAAAAATGAACAAAAATATATTCACGGCAACTCGCGCGCCCCGCCCCGGGAGCATACTGCTCTGGCGCACTGGGAATGATGACGTCACACCCCACCTTTCGGACCCCATAGCAGCCAAAGTAGGTACAATTTCGAACTTCCGTTGCTATACCCATATACAGGGAGGGGTTTTTGACACTTTCAGAAGAAAAAAGAATTTTTTCCCGAGGTTTCATTTCTTGCGCACTGGGGGGATGTCATATTTATAGGCCGCGCAGTTAAAGGGTTAAAAGATTCAGCCAATTTCATAGAAATAGATAGCTAATTCTGGGACACGGTGTATATTGACCTGCTACATCCTTCCAATCCCAACAGTAGTATGCATGCCAAGTCCAGTCTTGAGAAAAGGTTAACTGCCATACTTCACTGCTTTACATTTGTTACATTTAAGTAACAAACACTAAAAAGTCAGTGGGTGAATGCTAATGTTGACACAATTGCTACTCTGAAACATATTTCAATTAAGGGCATGAATTTTCAGGATTGTCCTGAGATATCAAGATTAATAATGTCAAGAGCACGCCATTCTCTCAATTGACATATTATCCATCCCTTGTGTTAAACATTCTAGACCCATACCTATAGCCTCCCTACTTCATCCTATGACCCAAGCCCCCAAATTGGGCCATTTTTTGAGAATGCGAGGTAATTTTTTCTGGATGACACATTATTACCAAGAAGCAAATGTTTTAATCTTTAAAAAAAATTGTTTTTGCACAGTATGTGCTAATTGCACATACAAATAAAATTAGCCAACCATCTACAAGACAAAGGTGTAAACTACCAAAAAATGGATCACTTATCCTTACCTTCTTAACTGAGGATTTTATCTGATACTTGTTGGCAAGACGGTCAACAATAAATACTAGTGTGTTGTTATCTTCAATCTTTTTCATGGCAGATTCTGTAGTCAAGGGGTACTTGATGATATTAAAAGCATCCAACCTGGAAATAAATAAATGACATGAGATAAATAGCATCTTATTTTTTTCTATCAATTTCTTTCCCCTAATCATAACATCACACAGCCATTTCAAAATTCTGCTGCAAAAATGTAAACCAATATTATTAAACCTGATATCATCATTACATATGTAAGTATTTTTATGGCAAACCAAATTTACTTTAGTTTCCTTTAAAAAATAGGAAGTTACATTTTAATATATAGGTATTACAACCTAGCAAAAACAAAAATACACACAGTTCTGTTCAGTGGCACCAAGAGGCAGGAGTCACTGCAGCAGGCTCCAGGAATATCAAATTGCATAAGTATTGGGAAAAGGTTGAGGGCTGTAAGTGGTGTCCCAAGTTACATAAAGGTATAGGGAAGTTTAAAAGTAAATAAGATACAAGTGAAAGCGAGCGAAAATTCTGCATTGGAAACGTTTATATTCCACAACAAACGATCGCCAATAACAAAGATGGCCACCACCACGGGAGAAGTAAGCACATCAGCTGATGAATGTTTTGAAGGATTTTCAGCACAAGATATAAGGAAAGGAGGTTTTCTTAGCAGGTTAGAGATAATTGAGGATATGCTAAAGAAATATGAATAAAAAGTACTTGAATTAGAAGTTGTAAATGGAGCTCTCAGGAGTGAGTTTCACACTTTAAAATGAAGTATTCTTCAGCAAGGTAAGAAAATTACCACCTTAACAGACAAGGTAAAGACTTAGGAGGAACAAATGAAAGAACCAGTGAAAGAATACGAGGTGTGAAAAGTGAAGTGGTGAATTTGACAAAATTAACAAGAAAATACTCATATAGTGAACAACTTCAAGGAACCCTGAGGGTTAACAGTTAGGCAAAGATATGCAAGGAGAAACTTCATGGACAGCTCACAGAGGTTAATAAAGAACTAGAAAAGTACAAAGAAGAAATATGTGCAATTTGTAAAAGAGAAAAAGATGATCAAGGAAGTGTGTTTGGAAGTCAAAACCAGAAATGACCAATAAGAAGCAGATGTTAAGCAAGCAATTAGGAAAGAACTAGTTACCAACATCAAATTGGTACAAAACACTGCAGATATAAGTCCATAATAATTTTTGGGGGTTTATAAAAGGAAATATTTAGGGTGGACCCGAACAGATGAAAATCATGAGAAAATAGGCTTAGGAGAAGGCATAAATTCAAAGGAAAATGTTAGTGATTTTTGGAGTACAGTATAGGAAAATATGAGACAAGAACAGAAGTTTAGAAATGGCAGGAAATTGCAGTGATGAGGTTGGCAAACTTTGGTCAATAAGACACGACCTCTCAAAGGAAGACAATAGAAAAGCATAAAATAAACCTCAAAGCGAAATGTCTCAATGGGAATATAAATGAAGGGGAGTAAAAGACAAAGGGAATGTGTTCCTGAAAATTGTATATACCATAATAGATGGAGTGAGAAAAAATACTGGAACTAAGATATATAATTCAGCACTATGGTCATACACTATGGTGTATCAGATATTGTCACACTAATAGAAAACGAAGAAAATATTTTAAATAAGGTCATATTCCCAAGGGCTCAGTTTGGAGACATGACAGGAAAGCTAGGAAGGGAGGAGTGGCTGTGCTGGTGAAAAAAACATCTAAAGGTAAAAGTTACTAATCAAAAACCCTCGAGAAGTTGACATTGGCATTGCAGGTCTGGAATCGGGAGGATAAACTGATAATCATATATGCCTACAGCCCACCAGCAAGCAACACATGGCCAGAGGAGGAACTAGATGACAACCAAGAGGGCTTCAATGGTCATGAGATTGTATAGTAAGGGCAGATAGATACTGTACACAGTTTCAAATGTAGATATGATAATGAGTCCAATAGGCTCAGGATTCTGTATACCAGTTGATTGACAATTGAGAGGTGGGACCAAAGAAGCTCAACCCCCGCAAGCACAACAAGGCGATTACACACCTAGCTGAATCTGTTTGAGTTGAAGGTGACAAAGGCTGCCGAGCCTGACAATCTCACCATGGATACTAAAAGAGGGTGCAGAAGCACTGTGTGCCACTATGGTGTATAACAGGTCACAGAAGACCTACTGGAAAGCTGGATGACAGCTAATGTAGTTCCAATATAAAAAAAAGTAACAGGCAGTTACCTGAACTACAGGTCAGTTTCCATAACTTGCATACCATGCAAGGTGATGGAGAAAATCATGAGGAAAAGGCTCATAGAGCATCTGGAGGGAGAGAGTTTTGTAACACCACAAGCACAGGTTCAGGGATGGTAAATTGTACCTCACAGACTTTATAGAATTCTATGACAAAGCTACAAAAATTAGGAAAGAAAGAAGGGTGGGCAAAATGCATTTTCTTGGACTGTCAGAAAACCTTTGACACAGTACCCCATAAAAGGCAGTTACAAAAGTTAGAGAAACAAGCAGGGGTAAAAGGTAAGGAGGTCCAGTGGATAAGGGAGTATCTAAGCAACAGGAAACAGTGAGTAACTGTGAGGGGGGGTAGACATCAGTGGTGAGATGTCACCAGCAGATTCCCACAGGGTTCTGTACTTAGACCCATCCTGTTTCTGATACTGTATATGTAAACTATCTTCCAGAGGGTATAGTAACTCCTCTCAATGTTTGCTGATGATGCAAAAATTATGAGAAGAATCAAGACCGATGAAGATACAAACACTACAGGACGACCTGGACAAACTGGAGGAATGGTCTAGAAAATGGCTATTAAAGTTTAACTCACAAAAGTGTAAAGTAATAAAATTAGGCAAAGGAAGCAGGAGGTTGAACACAAGGTACCATCTGGGAAGTGAAATCCTGCAAGATTCAAAGAGAGAAAGATCTGGGGGTTGATAGCACACCAAACCTGTCCCCAAAAGTCCACACCAAAAGAATATCAGCAGCAGCATGTGCTAGATTGGCCAACATAAGAACTGCCTTTAGAAACTTGTGTAAGGAATCGTTCAGGACCTTGGATACCACCTATGTCAGACCAATCCTGGAGTCCATATCTAGTTAAAACAAGGCAAAGTTTGAGAAGATTCAAAGGTATGCCACCAGACTAGTCCCAGAATTGAGAATTTTATTATTGAATTACTACTGAAATGTAATTATATATGAGAAAAGCATTAAATATGTTATTGTATTGTAAACTTTATATGACATGTACACTTGTGGTGGGTAATGGAAAGTTTCCAGTTACTTATTTTCTTGTATTTTGTGGACTAAGGATTACTTTGCATAAAAATAAACTTTTATTGATCTAATTTGTAATATTAATTAACAATTTGAAATTATAAATTTAATTTTATTGTATAGTATACAATTAAATAATGTATAGCTGCATGTATAATAGAATATTTTAATTTCTTAGGATTCTTCCAAAAGACTGAGCTGGATTTACCAATTGTTTTCTTTCCTTAAATCAATATACAGTACAGTACTGTATTAATATATTTACCTTGCTTATAGTGTAAATCATTAATTTTCCCCAACTAAAATGCAAAATTTTTTAGAAAGAAGTGTCCAACTATGGATATTTGTTTTTCGGATTTTTCAAGTGATACATTACCAATAAATTTTCTACCCAAGTATTACCAATATATTTTCTACCCAATTATTACCAGTAAATTTTCTACCCAAGTATCACCAATAAATTTTCAATTTAACTTTGCCTTTTTCTAATGACCACTTACTTGCTCTTGCGGGGAACAGAGCGACGAGGGTACTTGGGGTTGCGTGGCAAATTCAGGGTCTTAGGCCGGCGGAACCGAACTGTGGTCCTAATTTTCTTAACGCGTGTTCCATGAATTCCCTTTACAACCTATCAAAGAAATAAAATGGCAGTTTAAAAATAAAAATAATTACATGAAAACAATTCAACTATGATATGACTATCTTTTGCATAAAAGGGAAATTAGGTTGCTAAATATTAAACCAATTAAACTAATCTTAAATATTGTTCAAAATTCCAACTCTCGCTTCCACTGACTTCAAAAACTTCAAATATCCCTGTCAAAAAAAATTCCAATATTAGCCAATTTGCTAGTGGTTGACATTACTGAACTAGGATTAACTTTAAAATGATGTGAAACTATTCCAAGGTAAAATTCCTTGGTAATTGAGTAATAAATTAAAAATGAACGTTACTCAAAAATATTAGGGGAAAAGTAAGTGCAGCAAGCTTAAATTATCTTCATAAAATAAACTATAGGACAGTTTTTGGCTTTTGTGCTAGAGATAAACATACCTTCAGAGCAACTTTCATGGCTCTCTTAATTGCAAACTTCTTAGCAATCTTCCCTCCCTTTGCTTTTCTATCCTTGGAGGCAGCAACAGTCAACTTCTTTACTCCAACCTTAGGACGAGCACCGGCAGCTCCCTTTGTTAGAGGTTTCTTGCCTACTGTCCCCTTAGCTCCAGTTCCCTTGACTCCTGGTTTCTTGGCAGCAGCTCCTTTCACTCCAGCCTTTGCAGCAGGACCCTTTCCAGCTGGTCCCTTTGCTCCAGGCTTCTTAGGTACCCCTTTCTTGGGTGCACCAGCACCAGCACCTGCAGCTTTCTTGGCTGCAGGTCCCTTGGCTCCAGAACCTGCTGGTCTCTTAGCTCCAGTTGCAGGTTTAGCAGGAGTTGCTTTGGGTGCAGCTTTCTTTGCACCTGTGGCACCTCCTGTGGCACCTGCAGCTGGCTTTCCACCAGAGGCTGCCTTTGGCCCACCTGCTGGTTTTCCTCCAGTTGCACCTTTCGCTCCAGCTGCTCCTTTTGCTCCTGCAGCTCCTTTTGCTCCAGTTCCCTTTGCCCCTGTTGCTGGTTTGGCTCCAGCTGCTGATTTAGCCCCTGCTGCTGGTTTAGCTCCTGCTGCTGGTTTGGCTCCTGCTGCTGGTTTGGCTCCTGCTGCTGGTTTGGCTCCTGCTGCTGGTTTGGCACCAGCTGCTGGTTTAGCACCTGCTGCTGGTTTGGCTCCAGCAGCTGGCTTAGCCCCAGCTGCTGGCTTTCCACCAGCAGCAGCAGGAGGGGCAGCAGGCTTCTTCTCTTCTGAAATTACAATTTAAAGATAATTACTCCAGAATAAAGGGAGGGGGGGAAGGAACTATCAGGTGAAAATGCCAAGCCATTACAACTATAAAGTTCTTGGAAGGGATCAGGACAAGGATTTGGGATGGCAAATTGTCAGCCTCGTAAATGAGTCAACAATTATCACTTTTAGTAAACATATAAAAGAACTATATAGTACTAAAATTGTGCACACACTAAACATATCCAACAACAGCCTATATGCCAAATATAAAATCTGCCTTATAAGCAGATTTTGGTCAACAATGGTTTCTCCAATGGTTATATCGAAGACATAATAAAAAGTTAGATGGCGAGGTGTGCAACAGGCAACGGAACAACTAATACTGCAATACCCGTACTTCAAATGAAATTGTTCTACGGAAACTTCTCCACGGCCTACAAAGCAGAGGAAAGAGCCCTAAAAGAGATCATTGAGAGGAACGGTACCCCAACTGACATCAACCAAAAGATAAAACTAACAATATATTATAAGAGTAGGAAAACCGCTAACCTGCTAATGAAGAATTCGCCAGACACCAAGAAAAACGTCTTGAAAGAGACTACCATTGTTTACGCCTTCACGTGCCCACTTGGGGATTGCCAGCCCCAACGAACTCAGTATATAGGCAAGACAACGTCTCTCTCTAGGCATTTAACAATGCACAAACAACAGGGCTCCATCAAGGAACATATAATCGCCACACACAACTTGACGATCACCAGGGATATTTTGACGAGCAACACCGAACTAATGGATATGATACAATGACAATAGAAGATTAGACGTCAGTGAAGTGTGGTGTATCAAGAAATCTAGACCAGCAATCAATAACCACCTAATACAGTTACACTCTACCCATTTCAAGACCCCGGGCTAATGCAGAAGCAGGACTGAATGACCCTGCAACAGGAACGGAATCAACCAGAACAACAAACTGCCAACATGTCACACTCTTAATTTACTACCTCATTATATAGGACCCCTATTAATACCTTATGTATATCATTCATCCATGCCATCTACCACCTCACCATTAGAGAACATAATCAGGTGCTAACACAGAAGAATTTGTCTGAGAATGTGAGGCAAGACCTTACGAAACGCATCGCTAGGCATCAGATCCAAATAATAAATAAAAATGAACTGAGGGGTTAATTTTTGATCTTCCTGCTTCAGTGAAGAAAAACACAAGAAATATCGAGAATCGTGCCAGAATCATAAATCTAAAACATTGTCATTCCAACGAGATTTTATTTATTTATTATTTATTTAATATATATATATATAGATATATAGATATATAGATATATAGATATATAGATATATAGATATATAGATATACATACATACATATACACACACACACTGTAGTGGCACCTCAATTAACGAGCGGCTATTTACGAGCATTTCCAGTAACGAGCAAGCCACTCGCAGCAAATTTGTCTGTTAATGAGCTTCACCTCTATTAACGAGCAAAACCACATGGTGCTTCCTAAAGTCTCACTCGCGGGTTCTCGCAAATTCTCGCACGCCTCCAACGCCAGTGTTGTTGTTTCGTGCACGACATGCATCCCTCTGCATTTATTTGTGCTTTTCTTTGTTTTGTTTTTTTGTAGTTTCGTGACTACAATTTGTAACGCACGATGTCACCAGAGAAGCTGCTTGCTAAAGATAGTGTTGTCAAGATGAAGAAAGACAATTACTGTGGATTTGAAGAAGGAAATTATAGCAAAGCATGAGTGTGGTGTATGTGTGACTGATCTCACAAGGGAGTATGGCAGGGCCTCATCAACAATTTGCACCATTAGTAAGGGGATGAGGAGGTAAGGGAGGATGCTGCCTCTTCCAGTGAGATCAGGGAAGTGTTGGGAATGTTTGAAAAGGTGACTGCATTCTTGGAAAAGCTGCCCTGATAAAGCAGTAACAACCCGGTGTGTGAACATGTTTAATGACATAAGAACATAAGAACAAAGGTAACTGCAGAAGGCCTATTGGCCCATACAAGGCAGCTTCTATTTATAACCATCCAATCCCACTCATATACGTGTCCAACCCACACTTGAAACAATCGAGGGACCCCACCTCCACGTGGGACCCCACGTTACGTGGCAATTGGTTCCACAAATCAACAACCCTGTTACTGAACCAGTATTTACCCAAGTCTTTCCTAAATCTCAACTTATCCAATTTATACCCATTGTTTTGTGTTCTGTCTTGTGTTGATACTTTTAATACCCTATTAATATCCCCTTCGTTATGTCCATTCATCCACTTGTAAACCTCTATCATGTCACCCTTAACTCTTCGCCTTTCCAGTGAATGCAACTTAAGCTTTGTTAATCTTTCTTCATATGAAAGATTTCTAATTTGGGGAATTAACTTGGTCATCCTAAGGGAACCGGTTGGCCGAGCGGACAGCACACTGGACTTGTGATCCTGTGGTCCCGGGTTTGATCCCGGGCGCCGGCGAGAAACAATGGGCAGTTTCTTTCACCCTATGCCCCTGTTACCTAGCAGTAAAATAGGTACCTGGGTGTTAGCCAGCTGTCACGGGCTGCTTCTTGGGGGTGGAGGCCTGGTCGAGGACCGGGCCGCGGGGACACTAAAAGGCCCCGAAATCATCTCATGATAACCTCAAGATATCCTATGCTGGACACTTTCAAGTGAATTTATATCCATTCTATAGTACGGCGACCAAAACTGAACTGCATAATCTAAATAGGGCCTAACCAGAGCTAGATATAGCTGAAGAACCACACCAGGTGTCCTGTTACTAACGCTTCGATTAATAAATCCCAGTGTCCTATTTGCCTTATTACGAACATTCATGCATTGATCTTTTTGTTTTAAATTCTTACTATCATAATTCCCAGATCCCTTTCGCAATCCGACTTCGCAATCTCGACACCATCTAGCTCGTATCTTGTAACTATCATCATTACCTAGCCTCAGAACTTTACATTTATCAGCATTAAACTGCATTATATGACAATCTGCTGTCTTGTTTTAGGAACATCCTAAAACAAAGACAAAAGCATAGATACGTTCTTTGCAAAAGTAGAGAAAAGAAGAGCCAGTGATAGTGAACCACAACCCGGTCCCAATGGGATGAAATTCCCAAGAAGAGAGCCCGCCAGAGGTGGATTCTCCTTCCACACCATAACCCCTCTCCTCCTCCCCAACTCCCCTATCATCTCCCTCAAGCCAGCAACGACTCTTCATAAGGTAAACTTGAAAACAGTACAACAAAACATTTATAATTACATGTGCAGTATTATATTTACATAAATGTCAAACAAGTATGGATGTTTTTGGGAGTGGAATGGATTAAATTTATTTCCTTTATTTTAAATGGGGAAATTTGTTTATTTAAAATGTTTATTTGTTTATTTAAAATGGGGAAAAGACAAGTTTTCCACATAACGAGCTCGGTGCCAGAATGGATTAAACTTGTTAATAGAGGTGCCACTGTATATATAATACAAAATATAATATACTACAGTATAAGGACCCCTGTAGTAGCCAGGTTCGTTCAACACACAATCTAGAATTCCAGGTTCGAATCCCAGGAAGGACATAAATGGTTGGGTAAATTTCCTTTTGCCTAATGCACCTGTTTGCCTAGTAGTAAATAGGAACTCAGGGGATAGCTTGTTGTGGGGTTGCATCCTGGACAGGGTCAGTAATTTGACATGGAGGACAGGACCTCGATAAAAGCGTAACATGTATGAATACACGCTGGCTTCCTATCTCCCGACAATGATTATATTTATACTGTATACTGTGGCACTACAAAACAAGCCTCCACACAGGTCCTTACAAAAAAAATTAATTTGTCTCAAAATGACACACAACACCACATCTTCCCTTACTATACTCTTCCTTTACACACACTTCCATCATCTCTAAGGTTTAACACTCAGAATTAAAATTATCATATGTTGATAACTGAATGAACTAAGGCCCTTTTGAATAAAAGCAAAGTAGAGTAAGTCTGTTCAAGCAATTCTTTTTAATGATCAAGGTCTTTCCTTACCTATAATACAATATTGTTATCAACCTTTACATCCACCATAGCAAAAGCATGTTCTTTGTTAACCTTACAGCTTTAGTTCCCCTTAGCTTCAATATTTGTCAGTGTCCCTAATGGCAAAAATTCCTAACAATCACTCCTCACCCATGTACAATAAATCAAATTTATTTGTAAGTAATAATATTTTTTAAGGTCCAACACAACATTGCACTTAATTTTCATAAAAAAAGTTATTCGACCAATTTCATGCTATTGTCTAGTTTTCAGTCAGCCTGAATTACCTTTAACCTTGTCAATGGCCAGGGAACATGTCACTCTTTCTGCTGCTGACAGTATCTGCAAACTCCCAGGGCACAATGTTGCGTAAATCACTTGTCATTCTGAAGATTCTTACCTTTTTCTCTCAAAATTTGCCACCAGTGTTCTTACTAAAAGAACTGGTATTCAGAGTTTCTCTGTGATAAAAGAAGTCTTATCCGAGGCAGGCTTTTCTCTTTCCAGTCATGCTCAAATCCTACATCTGTGTATAATAAGGAACCTCTTAAGCTACACTGATTTAGCCTGATCAGTCTATTCTTGCCAGTCAATACATTTTCTGTTCACAAAGTCAAATTCTCACTACAACACTGGGAAAACTCAAACACAAGTGCACTGTATCGAGTTGAGAATTATTTCTTGGCAAATGAATTAGTGAATTCAGAGTAACTTTGGATTATGTACAAGTGACCCAATGGGAAAGTAATTTTGAAGTTTACAACTTATCTTCCTGTTTATATAGTACTTGTTATAACTATGTGCACCATACATGTGCTATATTAGGCCCAAGAAGGTTAGGTTAGTTTAGTTTGTCTTTGCAACACAAGTAGAAAATAGTTTTCTGGTTTGTCCAAATACACTAATACCAATTTTTACTTTGTTATTGTGTTGTATATCAGTAAATGTACTATGGTCCTCATCCTTCCTATATGTACTATTAAAACAGGAGGATGGGCTGCAGTAAAAGTACATATTCACTAAATGAAGATCAGAATTTAAGAGGATGCACTGTACTCTCCAAAGCCTAATTCTTTTAGCCTTAATATTTGGATGCTCAACGAAACATCTGCCCGGAAGGCTGAAGGCTACAATAAAAACAAGACTTCACTCCATCATGTTACAGAATGCTAAAAGATACAAGTGCTGTGAAAGTGAGCAATTGTACTGCATTCCATTAACCTCCACACCTATACACCCTAGAAGATACACCTATACACCCCCTCCTAAAAAATAAAAATCTCGATGTTACCCAAAGGCCCATTGGTTGCACCAGGACATAGAACTCCCCAAGCACTGGTATCAGAAAAGGGCACAGTAGAAAAAGAATGCCTTTAGGGTAGCAAACCCAAGTTATGTGCATGAAGAAAAGCCTGAAGTTAATTGCATTTGACCACTACACAACACTGGGAGAGCTGCGCTTTAGTACAAGGTGCCACAGGTATCAACTACTGTAATAGCACAAGACTGCCACCAGACAGATGTGACACCGAACAAGATCAACTAAGAAAGGGGCATTCAAACAAAAGGATCCCCTGGACCAAATGAGATGAAGCCGGGAGAAGACCATATTCACTGACCCAATTACCCAAAGGAACGCAGTTAAAAATTCTTCAGCCAAAGATCCAAAAATGAAGAAAACCAGAAAACAATTCTGACAGTCCTTAAAACACAGGTAGGATGCCAAGCTTTATAAAGAGGAAACTAATGTTCTTTACCAATGCCCAGACAAGGAAAAATAGGACTTTATATTTTCTAATACAATTTTATATCTAATTGATAACTATAGGAACAGTTAAGCTATTCCATGTCGTCACTACTCCTATCTAACCTTTCAATTCCACATGCGGACATTGACAATGAGCACAGACATTTAAATCTAATATAGAAGGTTGATCATCTGCCAAATGCAGCAAAAATTGGAGGTTGGGGCACCAAGATAGCAATGACAGGAATTTTGGCTGAAGCAACGCCAGGGAAGAGCATGATAACATGCCCCAAAACTTTCCAGCCTCAATAGGATGGCAACAGCATCTGGACTGGAGGAATTTGATAAACTGCTCCTCCACAGTTTCCATGGGGGACACATTCAGCTGGAGTATGCTAAACATATGGCATATCTACACAAATAAGAGGCCTTGTGCAGCAAACAAAATTCCATCCCAATCAGAAGGGATCAAGAGCCTCAGGAACCCTTAAGAGAAGCTACTGGTTTCCTTTGATAAATATTTGTATTAAAAAAAGGTAAATCATAGTAAATTAATAACTATATAATCTCTACATAATAAAGGGTTGTGCATATTAAAAATTGGTTGATATGGAGCTGCATTATCATAATAATGTGTATGTTAACTTTGCAAAGTAGCTCGGTACAAAAACTCTGTACCTTGATACACAACCCCATCTTCATGTGGCTTATTTGGCCTAAGAACAGTACTGTAATTTTTGTTAAGAACACTGGGGTAAGGTGACTTGCATGCCTGTTAAACTCTTAAGTAGGTTCTGGTACTTGGTTGAGTTACAAATTGTAATACAGTACTGTACATAGGTATTTTACATTGGCCCAATCAATTCAACAAATCTTATAGTTTCCAATTATTTTAAACGTTTTTATTCATAAGTTATGGTGGACTCCTCTGAATTAAGTTAGGGTCAAGAACTGTCTTGGACAAGTGATCTGAAGCCATGTAGCACACTGGCCATTTGACAAACTATAATTTTAAGAGCTGCTTACTGACTAGCTCATCTAATAATAATAATTCATTGTATTGGGGGACAGGCAGCCAGAGTGTATTCATACACATTAGGCTTATATCGAGGTTCCCCCCTCCCAGTTTGAATTACTGACCCTCCCCAGGATGTTCCTTCACAAGCTGACTATCTCCAGAGTACCTACCTACTGCTCAGTGAACAGACGCATTAGGTGATAGAAAATGCGCCCAACCAATTGTCCCTCCTGGGATTCTAACCCAGAATTCTCAAATGTAAGTCAAGAATGAACCAAACCGTCCCAGCGAGACCCCTCACACTACTAACTACATAAATTTATTAACTTTCATACAAACACCATAATATGCAGGGGTAAGGTAATTATGAGGAAAAAGCACTAAGCCAGTGCATCTATATACCACTTGGAGGTGATACAAGGACCAGGATCTGGCACCTCAAGCAGCAGTGAAGGAATAGTGCCCAATTACTTGCACCATCTGGGGGTAGACTACTGACCCTGCAAGAGGCAAGGTTATCTTGAGGTTATCTTGAGATGATTTCGGGGCTTTTTAGTGTCCCCGCGGCCCGGTCCTCGACCAGGCCTCCACCCCCAGGAAGCAGCCCGTGACAGCTGACTAACACCCAGGTACCTATTTTACTGCTAGGTAACAGGAGCATAGGGTGAAAGAAACTCTGCCCATTGTTTCTCGCCGGCGCCTGGGATCGAACCCGGGACCACAAGTCCAGCGTGCTGTCCGCTCGGCCGACCGGCTCCCAAGATTAAGGTGGCACCTGCACCCACCACGCCAAGTGCTTCAACTATAACAACCGTAGGAGTTTAGTTAGGTCAGCCTGAACATCTGTACCCATAAAAGAGTACATGTACATAAACCTTGATTCTTACTACACAACTAAACGGCTAATCTTGTACAAACCCTACTCTACAATAGACTATTAATATGAAACCTTCACTATTGAGCAAGATTAGTTTATATAGATACAAAAAAAAGGCATTATCTAGTTTTTTAGTAATTTTTACAACACAATTACCGGTATGACACAAAACGCAAACACGACCAATGCGCTTTCAAAATACTATCACCGCAGTCTTGATTTAAACAAAGAAATCCTGGATATAAAAATTGTAGGCGGCATTTCACAACTAATTACATCAGAAATGGTGATGAAGGACCAGGAGTCCCGCACACAAACTACCACCCGCACGTGGGTCATCCATCCCTCACTATTATCTCCATATTTCCTCACTAAATCCTCATATTATCCACACCAGCGCACTCCTGGCGTGTCACAGGCACACTCCTCTCCACCTTGTTCGCTTTTAAGACCGCCGAGATAACGCGAGAAGCAGTAGAAGCTGAAAAATCACCGAGTTACTCACTTTTGGGAGGCATCGCTTATGTTGATGCACGGGAAAGACTGGGACGGTGATGGCCGCATGGCAAGATGGCCACAGACACGCGACGAGCGCACGCCGCAACACCACCGTCTTTATTATTAGTAGTATTATTACCTCTAGGCTACTTCTTCTCAAATCTTAAAAACTTATTAGCAATTATATTTATATTTGTGATGCAAAATTTATGGAATGTCTCACGCATATTTGTATCTAATTAGGTATGTCCATTCGTCATATTATTATTATTATTACCTCTAGTCTACTTCTTCTCAACTCTTAAAAACTTATTAGCTATTATATTTATATTTATGATGCAAAATTTATGGAATGTCTCACGCATATTTGTATCTAATTAGGTATGTCCATTCGTCATATATTCTTAATATAATCTTAGAGGATATTTTTAAGACTACGAATACTGTTATAATTATTTATTTATTTATTTATTTATTTATTTACATATTTATTTGCATAAGGGTACGCTGAACAATGTAAACAATTTGGCGCAAATATTACATAGGATAGACATTGTTGAATAATAAACTTCAGACGCCGCTGACGGCAACAGCAAACACGTTATATTTAATAATCTTCGATATACAAAATTTCCAGAGATACTTATAGCCGAGTCTAATGTAACTTGCTTAGCTAAATGAATTTTGGAGTTCCAGCCCCTAAGCCCATTATGTGCTTCTATAACCCTTCCAATCTCCCAAACGATGGGTATGGGGTGCATAATAAATGAACCAAACTAATTCCATATTCTCATTAACTTATGTACTCACCTAGTTGTGCTTGCGGGGATTGAGCTCTGGCTCTTTGTTTCCGCCTTTCAACTGTCAATCAACTGGTGTACAGATTCCTGAACCTATTGGGCTCAGGAATTCATATAACATCATATTCATATAATATCTACATTTGAAACTATGTATGAAGTCTGTCTCCACCACTTCACTGCCCAATGCATTCCATCTGTTAACTGTAAAAGGGCAACATTAAGAAAACATGGAGCACTATTTCCCAAATATTAGGGTCAAGAATGATCTTGAATAAGAAACCAATACTGCTATCCAATGATGATGGTGTGATTTCTGCCTCTGATACTCTTATTAAATTCAATAGTTTCTTCTCATCCATTGGCACATCCCTTGCAAATGATATCCCATCCTCCTTAACTAATGTTAAGGACTATCTTACAGGAAACTATCCAGAGTCTCTGTACCTAACTCCCATTAATTCCTCTGATGTTATTGAGATAATGTTTTCACTTAAAACAAAGGCAAGTGCTCTTGCTGAAATACCAACTCTAATCTACAAGAAAGGCTCTAGAGTTCAAGCGCCTGCCATTGCATTACTCTACAAAAAATTACTTGAACTCCAAACCTTTCCGGAAATTCTAAAAAAGCGAGAGTAACCCCGTCCATAAATGTGGTGATCTCACTGATGTCAACAATTTCAGACCTATATCAATTCTGCCAACCTTGTCAAAAATATTTGAAAAGCTAATCTACAAGCAGCTTTACTCTTATCTAGCCAAACACAATATACTTAGCTCTTGTCAATATGACTTCAGACCCCCCCAAAAAAACACTTATAATGCACTGATTAGTATGATTAACTTGATAAATGCAGCTATTGATAGAAATGAGTTCCCTGTTGGGTTATTTGTTGACCTACGTAAGGCTTTTGGCACTGTCAACCACCAAAACCCTCTTCTTAAATTACACCAATATGGAGTCAGAGGTCACCCTTAGTGACAGGATCCATGTATGTTTCTGTGCATAATTCCATTTCTCCCACCCTACCATCAACATTGGTGTTCCACAAGGCAGTGTACTTGACCCTCTCCTCTTTCTCATCTACATTAATGACCTCCAAATGCCTCTCAACACTTCAAACCAATTTTATTTGCTGATGACACAACCTTTATTTTCTCGCCCTGACCCTCTTGCTGAATGTTACAGTGGATACTGAACTAAATAAAGTCTATCTTTGGCTAACTGCTAATAAAATCACCCTTAACATTGGCAAAACCTTCCATATTTAGTTTGGTAATAAATCCTCAGTTCAAATTAATCTGCGAATTAACAATATCCAAATCAGTAACAACGTAGATGGTAAATTCCTTGGTGTTCTCATCGATAACAAGCTTACAGGACTACATTCAACATAAAGCAAATAAAGTTTCTAAAACTGTTGGCATTCTTTGCCAAAATGATCTATATTCAGCATATTCTGTTACGTATATTCAGTCTGTCCAAGTTATCTTGTAGCCTCTTGCTGTCCTCTTATGTCTTAATCCTTCCCGTAATTTTAGCATCATCAGCAAACATTGAGAGGAATGAGTCTAATCTACTCGCTGCAATACCTTCTGGAAGGTATTCCTCTCAATGTTTGCCGATGATGCTAAAATTACGAGAAGAATTAAGACAGAGAAGGACAAGAGGCTACAAGATAACCTGGACAGACTGAAGGAATGGTTCAACAAATGGCTACTAGAGTTTAACTCGAGCTATGCATATATACAATATACTTAGCTCTTGCATATATGACTTCAGACCCCAAAAAGCACTAAAGATGCACTGATTAGTATGATTACGTCCTCTAATTACTCAACACAAAGCTGCTATTAGAACAATATCTAGCTCTGGCCCCAGACAGTACTCGGTACCCTTACTTAAATCTTTGAATATGTTAGATATTAAGTCACTGTACATCCTCTCATGTGTACACAGAGGTCCACGGTTGTTCACGTCCTACCAGCGACCATCAGAAATATTACAGGAACAACCGTGGACATCTTCAAGAGGAAACTAGATTGTTTCCTTCAAGGAGTGCCAGATCAACCCGGCTGTGGTGGGTATGTGGGCCTGCGGGCCGCTCCAAGCAACAGCCTGGTGGACCAAACTCTCACAAGTCAAGTCTGGCCCCGGGCCGGGCTTGGGGAGTAGAACTCCCAGAACCCCATCAACCAGGTACTCTTATATAAAAATACATATATATTTAAAACTCTGATCTGTAATGTCAATCCTGACCTTAAACGCTTCCTAGAAGGTTGAAACAGAACCCATGGGCACCACACCAGAAACAAATACCTATTTGATATTCCAAGAGTGCGCCTTAACCAAACTAGAATTGCTCTACAAATCAACGGACCCAGAATGTGGAATGACCTTCCCAATCATGGTAAAGACTGTACCTCTCTCAACCAGTTTAAGAGAAAAAATAAGTACTACCTAATAAACTCCATGTAACCTACCTTACCCCCTAAATGTCAACTCATGTCTTGCTATTTTCAAACAATACTGTTTGTTGATTAAGTTGTATAATTGCTGATTTCTGCCATGTTCCCCCCCCCCCGTTTTTCCGTTTTCAACACAATTTATACTTTAATCTCAATTAGTAATTTTTTTTCATACCTTGCCCTAAATGCTGTGTGTATTAGTGGCTTTAGGTATTGTATGTACTAGCTCTATCTATAAATCCAACATTATGTTTGTAACTCATCTTCTATGTACTTTTACCTGAATAAACATTTTAATTAGATTTTTTTGTAGATATGATAGAGCCCAGTAGGCTCAAGAATTTGTAGAACAGTTGATTGACGGTTGAGAGGCGGGACCAAAGAGCCAAAGCTCAACTGCACAAGCACAACCAGGTGAGTACAACTAGGTGAGTACATCCCTCCTGAGCACAGGTCATGGTTGCGCCGCTCTGTCGCCACTTCCAGCTCCTGCGGACGCCTGGGTATGGGGTGCATAATAAAGAAATTGAATTGAATTGCAGACGCCCATGCCGCTGCCTGTTTTCCTTCCCCTCCTACTGAAGTAAGGGCGAAGAGGTAGTTGACAAGAGTCCGGGTGCATGAGGAAATTGTGTAAAACCCCGGTCTGTGCTTCAGAGAAAGGGAAAGAGATTATCAAGGGAAAGAGCCAGGCCATTAGGACTATATAGCACTTGGAGGGGGGGGGGTCAGGATAAGGATTTTGGATGGGGACGGGGAAACTGCCCTCACAAGGCTGCGGGAGCCTTTTAAGGGCAGTAGCACTCCAGGTTGCAATTTATTTAACAATATATGTATTGTATGTACTAGCATTGTATGTATTGTATGCATTGCAAGCATTGTATATACTAGCTCTATCTATAAATTCATCAATATTTGTATCACCCCTTGTATGTATGTACTTTACCTATATAAACATTTGAATTTTGAATTTGAATGTCGTGGCACAGTAGGCAACCACCTTCAAAATTCTCAGGGAAATTGACAGGGTGGACAAAGACAAACTCTTCAGCACGGGTGGAACACGAACAATGGGATACAGGTGGAAACATAGTACCCAGATGAGCCACAGAGACGTTAGAAAGAATTTTTTCAGTGTCGGGGTTGTTAACAAATGGAATGCATTAAGTAGTGCTGTGGTGGAGGCTGACTCCATACATAGTTTCAAATATGGAGATGATAGAGCCCAATAGGCTCAGGAGTCTGTACACCAGCGCCAGAGCTCAACCCCCGCAAACACAACTAGGTGAGTACAGTCGACTAAGGCTCGTCTGGGATCATCCCGGACGTAGGTTCGAATCCTCATCACAGCCCTTGTGGATTTGTTAAGTGAAAGATTAATTTTCTGTGATTCAAAGTCAGCTCTTCAGGCTCTTTACAACCCAACATGCAAAATAGGCACTAGAAATGTTGTAACATCCATTATAAACATTATTAATGTAAAAATCAAGTGTTTTAGAGTCTCATTTGTATGGATACCATTTCACATAGGTGTTGTCGAGCAAGATGACACAGACAAGGCAGTTCAAACTGCGTGTGATAAGCCTAAAATTGAGTTGATATGGGCATTCCAATCTCTTCTGTAAAAGTCGCAATATTTCAAGAAATTAGGGAAGACAGAAGAGCAATTACAGATTCACAAAGGCCAGAAAGCACGAGTATAAAGAGCTATGACATGTTTAGAACCGAGAATTATATGTACGGGCAGCATAAAACATCCACTAGACAGTGTGACATTGTAATTGCCAGAATTACGCTGGGATATCGATATCTATGGCAGGTCTTCCACACATTCATCATTG